AAAAAAAACAAAAGAAAAGAATGAAAAAACTTTAATATTAAAAAAAAATAAAATAAAAAAGCTTTGTTTGGTTTTTTTTTTTCTTGAAAGTATAAATTGTAAATGAAAATTACGAAGATATGAATTTGATTTGGGTGATATCTAGTTTTTTTTTCACAATTTAATTATTTAAACTCTGATTTAAAATGATTTTGAATTTATAAAAAAGTAGGATGGCTTTTTTAAACTTTTTTTTGCAACAAAATGTTTTCACGATGAAATAAATGATTAAATATAAATTAATCAATTGCAACTTACAGTTTCGGAATCATTATAATCAAATGGATCAGTTTGTCCGTCACCTGTTCCATTTAAAATTAAATTGCCAAAAGTTATCACTTTCATCTCATAATTCATCATTATTATTATCACCATCAGCAACATCATCATTGTTATCATCATGGAGTAGCAGCAGTGAATGAAGCAGTAGAAATGTTAGTGCTAATTTAATTTAACTATATGAGTCCCCTCCCCTGTGAAATTGAACCTTCAAGCCCTGAAAGTCTGTTTAAAAGAAGCCAGAAGAAGATTGGCGGAAATGTCCGCCTTATCCTTTCAATTTTCAATAAAATGAGAAATAGAATTTTTAAAAAACAGTTTAAATCAAATTTCAAAATTACCATATAACTTATTATTATGTAAAATTGCAAAAATTGTCAGCATTTATTTTATGCAAATTTTAGGATATGAAATTTTTTCATTTTCTTAAATGTTCCTTTTTAGCTACAAATGTTTCATAATAACATAGAAAAATTTACCGTTCATTGATTAACTAATTAATTTGACTAATTAATTAACTTTAATTTCCTCCGTTATCATCGATGATAAATATTAATCTAAAGAAAAAGGAAAAACTCTACAATAAATCATGAAAATTTTAGTAGCATTAATTAGTGAATTATTAATCAATTATTAATCAATTGATTTCACTAGCGCTAATCATTGATCAGTTAAAATTTTTAGTAACATTAATCACTTGCTGTACAAACATTATACTAATTAATTATGAAAAGAAGAAAGTACCGCCAAACTTTAACATAACTTTTAAAAGTTAAAAAAAAACAAATTTGAATATTATTACTTTTATTACGGAGAATATTTTATAATTACAAAAATAATCAGCAACAATTACAAGCAATCATTTACTTAATAGAGCAACAATGCTGTAAATCAAATTTACCTAGGGAAAGACATTTCGAAATTCACCTCTCAAATATCCCTAACAATGATTAACAGTAGGGTAGCATTGATATGATATTACAATAAATATGCAATTAATTGAATTCAATCAATTAAATAATTATTTTTCCGGATAAAACTTTTGAATTCCCATTTTTATTAGTCAAATATTGCTGTAAAATACACAACTCTGTGTTTCATCGATCCGATCATAAATGATGTAGTTGATCAAAAAAGTGATATGGTGATAGCAAATCAAGTATTGCAAAAAAGAAATCCGATCATAAATGATGTAGTTGATCAAAAAAGTGATATGGTGATAGCAAATCAAGTATTGCAAAAAAGGAAAGTTTTATCAGGTATAGCAAAAAGAAGAAAAAGAAAGTTCTACAAAGCTCTTTGCAGTTTTTCCGTGCATTCCGATTACAAAAAAAGGAAAGTGCTAGATAATTATTACACAAATGCATCAAATTTTTCAAATGAATCACCGAACTTCTAATTAAAAACTTCTGAATCCAATTCTAATAATGATTGAATTTCTAATTTAAATACCATTAAAATTCTAATTTCAATCCTAATAATCAATGAACTTTTAATTCGAATATTTTAGTATTCAGGCTATATAATGGGTGAAATTGTCAAATTATTTTTAATTACTTTAATTTTATTTTGAATTATTTTAATATTAGAATATCTAGAATATTTTCTATTTTTTTAAATTCTAATTTCAATCTTAATAATCAATAAACTTTTAATTCGAATATTTCAGTATTCTG